CTTTTTGTTTTGATTAACTGTTGCTATTTGTGGTTATGCCATCGAGTTTTGTGTGGGTGTTGTCCTTGTGGTAGGACCTAACTTCATAAACCTCTCTGGTTTTCCAAATATTGAGCTATAAAATGACTTTGATTTGAAGCTGTGAAGCGTTGTTTATTGCAAGCTTCAGCTCTTTATACCCCACTAATGCTCAGTTAGCTACACTATGCCAGTGTTTTTTTTATCTAAGATGACTTTGGTAACAAGGCGTATGTGACTGTGTGTTTTAGTTAAGAGCAATGATACCTAACCTTAATAAGAACCTTAATATTTGTGCTTAGAGTTCTCTTTTTCTTTGCCCCATTAGAGGTAAATATTATTATTTTTTTCTTTTTTTGAGTTAATATTCACATATATACTAGTCATAGAAATAACTAAAAAGCACAAGTAAAACAATCTCTTTTTTAATTTTTATCTAATATTTATTATCTTTGTTTTCCTTTAGGAAGAAACGGCCCAACCCAAATGCTTCGACATAATATTTATTTGGGCCTGGCTTAGGCCCAACCATCGTCTCCTCCTTCGTCCCGGCATCCCCTCCCTAACTCCGTCGCAGCAGAAGTCGTCGTCGTTAACGGGTAATCATACATCTCTTCCGCCACAGAGGAACACAACAACCTTTCATATCGATAAACTACAATGGCGCAATCACACGTTCCTTCTCTCATATTCAACTCTCTCGTCTTCTCTTCTACAAAAATCCCTAATTCCGAACAGAATCTCCCCCTTCGTTCCAGGTATCAATTCAAACTCTTGATAATCCTTTATAGCAAAAAGCATATGTTTTTCATGGTAAAATTGTTCAGTGATTTTGGATCGACTTTATCCTCGTTGTAAATTTATCCAGGTATCAAATTTCTTGAATTGCTAAAAAACCGTGAAATTGGGAGTAGAAAATACAAAGCGTATCCATCTCCAATGATTCTCTTTACAAGATTGACGGCGGTAAAAAGAACCACCGCCACCGCCACGTTCTCCATCGGCACAGCTTTCAGAACCCTCAAAACCGCCATGACAGACCAGATGAGTAATGGCAGGGCAAGAGACCACGGAACAAACGACGATTTATTTTGCTACAATTCATCACATTTCCAACATTGTGCGCCGTGATATCTACTTAGAAAGAACCCTAACAAAATGTGCATTTCCAGAATCGTCAATTCAGAGCTTGTTTATCGTGTACTCCGCAGCTGTTCCAATTCAGGTATCGAATCTTTCCGTTTCTTCAATTGGGTTCGAACCCAACACCCCCAATACGAACCTACCACCGTTGAATTTGAAGAACTCCTCAAAATCTTAGCCAAAACCCGCCATTGGGAGACCATGTGGAAGGTCGCACACCAGATGAAAACCCAAAAACTCCCAATTTCATCATCTGTTTTTTTTATAATCGAGCATTATGGCAAAAACGGGCTTATCGATCAAGCTGTTGAGCTTTTTAACAAATGCAAGAACTTTAATTGCACCCAAACCACTGAAATACACAATTCCTTACTCTTTGCCCTTTGTGAAGTCAAGAATTTTCAAGGAGCATATGCTTTGGTTAGAAGAATGGTTCGTAAAGGAATGACCCCAGATAAAAAAAACTTACTCTGTTTTAGTCAACGGGTGGTGCTCTGCTGGAAAGATGAAAGAAGCCCAAAGTTTTTTAGAAGAAATGAGTCAAAAGGGGTTCAATCCACCTGTTCGTGGTCGTGATCTTTTGATTGATGGCTTATTGAATGCTGGTTATCTTGAATCAGCAAAAGGGTTAGTGCGTAAAATGACAAAAGAGGGCTTCGTATGTGATGTCACCACATTTAATACATTATCAGAAGCTATATGCGAATGGGGTGAGATTGATTTCTGTATTGCTCTCTACCATGATGTTTGTAGATTAGGGTTATGTCCTGATATCGATACTTACAAGATCATGATCACTGCAACTTCAAAGATTGGGAAGATTGATGAGGCGTTTAGTGTTCTTTATAGATTAATTGAAGATGGGAATAAACCGTTCCCGAGTTTATATGCTCCGATTTTGAAAGGGCTTTTTAGGAATGGAAGGTTTGATGATGCGTTTAGTTTTTTAGTGATATGAAGGTGAAAGGGCATCCACCAAATCGACCTGTTTATAGTATGATTTTGAAGATGTGTGTGCGTGGTGGGAGATATGTTGAAGCTGGTAATTATTTGATGGAGATGATTGAATTTAAATTGTCACCAATGTCACGACATTTTGATATGGTGACTGATGGATTAAAGAATTGTGGGAAACATGATATGGCTAAGAAGATAGAGCAGTTGGAAATATCACTTCGGGGTATGTGATTGTGAGGTGTTACATTGGTTTTGTGATCATTCATACAATTGTTTTGTTTAGTTTTATATTATATACCCCAATGATTAATTGATTATCATTACCTTAGTGAAGTATGAGTTTCTATTTTCAGGCTTAAACATTGTGATGTAATTTGCGATATCATTGTCATATGTATCATTAAAGCCTTGTCCCTACAAAGATTGACGTCGATTTGTGTGGAAGAAAGGGAATTTTCTACAGTAAATGGTAAAACAAGTATTTTGCATTTGACTAGTAAAAGTCTCTGACTAAATAATAAATAAACCTTATCCAAGCCCTAACATGTAGGTTTATAACCTGTATTCAAGAATTTCAAATATAATAAGGGGCCCAAGAGGGGATATTAGGTTCATTAAGTCGGAGGTTGGTAGGTGGATTCACTTTTGTTTTGGGAGGAGAAGTTGTTTCATAAACACTCGAAGCCTAAAGTAGTATGAAATTTCACATGATGAGAAAAAATGTGATGAGTGTGTGTGAGGCACATGGAGTAAGGAGGCGAGGCGTTGTTCATCATGCACAATGATGTGTGGGACTCGAGAGCACAACCGATGAGGTGCACATCAAGCATGACATGATATGTGTGGATGAAGTAATTATAAGTTATTGATGTATTGATATTTAATATTTTACAATGATTTAAAATTAAATATTAATATATCGTTGACTAGGTTAGGGAAGCTTCAAGAACCTTTGATGACCGTTGGCATTGATTACGAGACGTTCTTTTTCTCTGGTCTGCTCATTGTTAGATGCACTGATAAACAATCACTTATGGCTTAGTTGGTTGTGAATGAAGACATGGTAAACACTCCACATGATTAAACCAAGTTAATTCAAATCCTACCCAAACCACAGAAGGACTGATCAGGAGAAGGGTTCGTGATGTACTACAATGTCTTCGCATATCGCGCAAAGAGCGAGCCCCTCCCCCAAATCCTCGCATAGCGGGGGGCCGGGAAACCCATTTTATTAATATATGTGAATATTAACTCAAAAAAAGAAAAAAATAATAATATTTACCTCTAATGGGGCAAAGAAAAAAGAGAACTCTAAGCACAAATATTAAGGTTCTTATGTTGTATGCTTTTTTTTTCTTTGTCCAAAGTTAGTAAAAATATAAATATTTATACTAAATTTTCCAACAGAACAAACGATCTTGATGAAGAACAGAGTAACGATCCAGATGAATGAATAACTGATGATGTTGATGAAGAACAGATGAACGATCCAGAATAAAAATGTACCTTAATGACTTTATCTAAATGTATTTTACATATATAAGAATGATTGGTTGAGGTTGATTACTCCATTGAACATTTTATTTTTTCTCAATTGAACTTACCTCTCTCTCTCTCTTTATATATATATATATATATATATATATATATATATATATATATCTATATAATATATATATATATCCGTAAGTTATCTATAACAAGCCTTTTATATCAAACTAGTTTAGATATGCTAAAGATGAAACCATAAAATAAGTAATAACTCTTAAAAGCAATGAAACACAAAATCAAATATTTAGTTGGATTGGGATGACAATCACTCTTATCTAAAGGGAATCCCTTTGGGCTTAGACTCCACTTATGCAAATATGACCAATCAATCTTTTAAAAATTGGTTTGAACCAGTCGATCGAACCGAAAACCGGAGAAGATAGTGATTTAACTATCACCGATTTTACGTTGATTTTTGAACCGGATTGAACCAACCGGTTTTTAGAAAACCCTGGTTAAACTGGTCAAAATAAACTGGTTAAACCGAATAAAAACACATGGAAAAAAACCATTTGCATAATAAACTTTGGTCGTTTTTTTCAAATCTATTTAGTTTTCTCCAAATTAAAACATATGATAAATATTATAAAGTTTTTTTTTATGTGTTAAACTGGTTAAACCGAATAAAAACACATGGAAAAAACCATTTGCATAATAAACTTTGGTCGTTTTTTTCAAATCTATTTAGTTTTCTCCAAATTAAAACATATGATAAATATTATAAAGTTTTTTTTATGTGTTTGTATTCATCTAAAACTATATTGTATTTTGTTTCGGTATTATATTTTCTTTTCTTTTTTGACATATATGGATTGATGTAAAACACTAAAATTTATGGTTATGTGTTATTTTAATGTATTTGGATTGATCTACAACTTATTTTTATGTGTATTTTTAATATTTGAACTTGTAAACGTTAAATTCATGATTTATATATGTATGTATATATGTGTAGGAAAATAGGAAAAAAGATGAAAATTATAGAAACCGGTTGATCTGACGGTTAAACCGGTTACCATACCGGTTCAACTAAAAAACATGTTTTTAAAACATTGGCCCCACGGCGTAGCAAAGTTGTTCCCTCATGATTATTATTATTTATTATTATTTTTTTTTTTTTGTGCATACAAGACAAGAGTCTTTAGTGTGGGAGTTCCAATTCCAAGTGTGGGAGTTCCAATTCCAATATGGGATATAAACCACATTGATTTATTTTAATATGCAGAAATGATTATTAAAAGAGACAAGGGTGCCCATAAAGAGAAAATTAGCAATATAAACACTTTACATATACATAAGTCAAATAAATAAACAAGGTTCTCTAATCCCCGAATAGAAATGAAATTCTCGACGAAAATGTCATTTTCATTTGATCCCACCACTAACTTGAACAGCTTGGTTGAAAAAAGCGTGCATGTAATAAGAGATCAACTTGAACTTATGGAGGCAAGTTGCACATCTCGTATGACTTGTTTGGATGAGGTAATTATAATTTATTAGCTAGAAGAAGATATATTAATAAAATGGGTTTCCCGGCCCCCCGCTATGCGAGGATTTGGGGGAGGGGCTCGCTCTTTGCGCGATATGCGAAGACATTGTAGTACATCACGAACCCTTCTCCTGATCAGTCCTTCTGTGGTTTGGGTAGGATTTGAATTAACTTGGTTTAATCATGTGGAGTGTTTACCATGTCTTCATTCACAACCAACTAAGCCAATAAGTGATTGTTTATCAGTGCATCTAACAATGAGCAGACCAGAGAAAAAGAACGTCTCGTAATCAATGCCAACGGTCATCAAAGGTTCTTGAAGCTTCCCTAACCTAGTCAACGATATATTAATATTTAATTTTAAATCATTGTAAAATATTAAATATCAATACATCAATAACTTATAATTACTTCATCCACACAAATCATGTCATGCTTGATGTGCACCTCATCGGTTGTGCTCTCGAGTCCCACGCATCGTTGTACATGATGAACAACGCCTCGCCTCCTTACTCCATGTGCCTCACACACACTCATCACATTTTTTCTCATCATGTGAAATTTCATACTACTTTAGGCTTCGAGTGTTTATGAAACAACTTCTCCTCCCAAAACAAAAGTGAATCCACCTACCAACCTCCGACTTAATGAACCTAATATCCCCTCTTGGGCCCCTTATTATATTTGAAATTCTTGAATACAGGTTATAAACCTACATGTTAGGGCTTGGATAAGGTTTATTTATTATTTAGTCAGAGACTTTTACTAGTCAAATGCAAAATACTTGTTTTACCATTTACTGTAGAAAATTCCCTTTCTTCCACACAAATCGACGTCAATCTTTGTAGGGACAAGGCTTTAATGATACATATGACAATGATATCGCAAATTACATCACAATGTTTAAGCCTGAAAATAGAAACTCATACTTCACTAAGGTAATGATAATCAATTAATCATTGGGGTATATAATATAAAACTAAACAAAACAATTGTATGAATGATCACAAAACCAATGTAACACCTCACAATCACATACCCCGAAGTGATATTTCCAACTGCTCTATCTTCTTAGCCATATCATGTTTCCCACAATTCTTTAATCCATCAGTCACCATATCAAAATGTCGTGACATTGGTGACAATTTAAACTCAATCATCTCCATCAAATAATTACCAGCTTCAACATATCTCCCACCACGCACACACATCTTCAAAATCATACTATAAACAGGTCGATTTGGTGGATGCCCTTTCACCTTCATATCACTAAAAAAACTAAACGCATCATCAAACCTTCCATTCCTAAAAAGCCCTTTCAAAATCGGAGCATATAAACTCGGGAACGGTTTATTCCCATCTTCAATTAATCTATAAAGAACACTAAACGCCTCATCAATCTTCCCAATCTTTGAAGTTGCAGTGATCATGATCTTGTAAGTATCGATATCAGGACATAACCCTAATCTACAAACATCATGGTAGAGAGCAATACAGAAATCAATCTCACCCCATTCGCATATAGCTTCTGATAATGTATTAAATGTGGTGACATCACATACGAAGCCCTCTTTTGTCATTTTACGCACTAACCCTTTTGCTGATTCAAGATAACCAGCATTCAATAAGCCATCAATCAAAAGATCACGACCACGAACAGGTGGATTGAACCCCTTTTGACTCATTTCTTCTAAAAAACTTTGGGCTTCTTTCATCTTTCCAGCAGAGCACCACCCGTTGACTAAAACAGAGTAAGTTTTTTTATCTGGGGTCATTCCTTTACGAACCATTCTTCTAACCAAAGCATATGCTCCTTGAAAATTCTTGACTTCACAAAGGGCAAAGAGTAAGGAATTGTGTATTTCAGTGGTTTGGGTGCAATTAAAGTTCTTGCATTTGTTAAAAAGCTCAACAGCTTGATCGATAAGCCCGTTTTTGCCATAATGCTCGATTATAAAAGAAACAACGGATGATGAAATTGGGAGTTTTTGGGTTTTCATCTGGTGTGCGACCTTCCACATGGTCTCCCAATGGCGGGTTTTGGCTAAGATTTTGAGGAGTTCTTCAAATTCAACGGTGGTAGGTTCGTATTGGGGGTGTTGGGTTCGAACCCAATTGAAGAAACGGAAAGATTCGATACCTGAATTGGAACAGCTGCGGAGTACACGATAAACAAGCTCTGAATTGACGATTCTGGAAATGCACATTTTATTTAGGGTTCTTTCTAAGTAGATATCACGGCGCACAATGTTGGAAATGTGATGAATTGTAGCAAAATAATCGTCGTTTGTTCCGTGGTCTCTTGCCCTGCCATTACTCATCTGGTCTGTCATGGCGGTTTTGAGGGTTCTGAAAGCAGTACCGATGGAGAACGTGGCGGTGGCGGTGGTTCTTTTTACCGCCGTCAATCTTGTAAAGAGAATCATTGGAGATGGATACGCTTTGTATTTTCTACTCCCAATTTCACGGTTTGTTTAGCAATTCAAGAAATTTGATACCTGGATAAATTTACAACGAGGATAAAGTCGATCCAAAATCACTGAACAATTTTACCATGAAAAACATATGCTTTTTGCTATAAAGGATTATCAAGAGTTTGAATTGATACCTGGAACGAAGGGGGAGATTCTGTTCGGAATTAGGGATTTTTGTAGAAGAGAAGACGAGAGAGTTGAATATGAGAGAAGAAACGTGTGATTGCGCCATTGTAGTTTATCGATATGAAAGGTTGTTGTGTTCCTCTGTGGCGGAAGAGATGTATGATTACCCGTTAACGACGACGACTTCTGCTGCGACGGAGTTAGGGAGGGGATGCCGGGACGAAGGAGGAGACGATGGTTGGGCCTAAGCCAGGCCCAAATAAAATATTATGTCGAAGCATTTGGGTTGGGCCGTTTCTTCCTAAAGGAAAACAAAGATAATAAATATTAGATAAAAATTAAAAAAGAGATTGTTTTACTTGTGCTTTTTAGTTATTTCTATGACTAGTATATATGTGAATATTAACTCAAAAAAAGAAAAAAATAATAATATTTACCTCTAATGGGGCAAAGAAAAAGAGAACTCTAAGCACAAATATTAAGGTTCTTATTAAGGTTAGGTATCATTGCTCTTAACTAAAACACACAGTCACATACGCCTTGTTACCAAAGTCATCTTAGATAAAAAAAACACTGGCATAGTGTAGCTAACTGAGCATTAGTGGGTATATAAAGAGCTGAAGCTTTCAATAAACAACGCTTCACAAGCTTCAATCAAAAGTCATTTTATAGCTCCATATTTGGAACCAGAGAGGTTATATGAAGTTAGGTACTACCAAAAGGACACACCCACACAAAACTCGATGGCATAACACAAATAGCAACAGTTAATCAAAACAAAAAGCAAGTTAAGCAAGCATATACTCCGAAAAACAATACTAACCAAGCCGCCACAGTCATCACCACAACTAACCAGCTAAAAATCAGGCTAAACACACGAATATACATACATTGCATGGATAAATAAGGAAACCCCTTGAAGATATTCACGTTTAAAACCCAAAATTCCTTACTAAAACGCAAAATCTGCACAATATAGTGAGAAGATCAAATTTGCTAAACGTTTTCCACACCCGAAATTCCATTCAAATCAACAGTTTATTTAATCAGAAAAGAAGAAGAAAATAACAGGCATAAGGCGTTACCATTGAAAAGTAAAATTAAAGGCTTTTGCTTTTTGGATGATAAAAAAATTAGGGTTTTGAGGGAAATGAAAAAGATGTGTACGAACTTAGGGGCTGTTTGGCAGGATCTGAATTTTTAAGATCTGAATTTTTAAGAGGTCTGAATTTCTAAGAGAGTCTGAATTTTTAAGATCTGAATTTTTAACATGCAGTTTGGTTTGAACCTCTGAATTTTGGTGCTGAATGATAAAAATGACAATTTTACCCTTTTGTATCATTTCTTTCAATTACAACATCATATATTTGAAAAAAAATCCATGGAAGTAGGATGCTAAACATTACAACCCAATATTACAAAAAAATACAATGAAAACTAAACAACCTAATATTTCATTATAATTACTAGCCAATAGTTTCCAATCATTCCAATCGACTGTGTCATCTTCGCTATCCAGGTATCAAACCTGACTTCCCAATCTCAATATCGAGCCATTCGCTATCAACATGAACAAAACTAGAATTGAAATTCACTGAATCAACAAATAAGAATTCAATTTTGACTTTTTATGTTTGACTCCGATGAACACAATTGACTCAATTGCGTTCGACTCCAATCAAACAAGTATGTTCAATCAAGTAAAACCATTCGATGTATGTTCGAATGAACACATATAGACCACATCAGATCAAAACTGAAATATAACCTAACAAGTAGCAATCACTTTGATGAACAGGGCAACAACACAAGGGGTAGGATCGACAAAATCAAGCCAAAAAAATTGATGGAGAGAGCGACACAAAATGCTTACTTTCACCATCGTGCTTGAATGCTGTTTGGGATTGGGATTGAAACAGAATAATCAGAGTTTTAGGGGAAAAATAACCTTACCAAAAGTTGAGTTGTCGATGAGGGACCTGGAAGGCTTCGGCGATGACGGCACTGGCGAAAGATCCGGCCGGCTGGTTCCGAAGATGGAGTGGGTGAGGGAACGTCGTGTGTATTGAAAGAGAAGAGGGAAAGTGGGGCTGAAATATCAAGGGAAAACCCGGAGATGATGCCGGAGGCGATGCAGCTGGAGCAGGAGACGAAGGCGCCACAGGCGAATCCGACGGCGGCGGCAGGAGAGGGGATCAGAGTTGTAGCAGTGTGGAGTGGAGGAGAGGCGTCGTTGATGGTTGGGAGGGGAAAAAGAAGTTGCGTCGTTGTGGGCAAAACAGGAAACAAGCGTGCCCTTATTTTATTCAGATGCAATCACATGTCTGAGAAATTAAGAGGTGTTTTTTAATTTAAGTGGCATAAAATAAGATGCTATCAAACATCCTACGTCTGAATTTTTAAGAGAGGTTACCTCTTAATTGAATTTTTTCAATTAAGAGGTAAACAAACAGCCCCTAAATTGACAAGTTAGGTAATAGGAAAGGCTGAAAAGCAAGTAGCTCTATGAATATAAATATAAAAATTTTATAATATTAAATATAAAATTTATACTATTAACATAACAATTAAATATAAATATAAAATTTATACCATTAACATAACAATTAAAACTTTATAATAGCGTAATTTAATATGTAAAACATTTATTACATTCTGAACGTTTTTATTTTCTTCATGATTTGCATCTATCAACTATCATTTTGGTTTATTGTAGAAATAACAATGAACCTTGTCAAAATTCTCACTTAACTATCAATATAACTAATATTATCCAAATTTTGACAAGTTTTTTACATGACTATTTGGACTATTGACCATAAACATTATTATAATTGAGAATTTTTAGTAAGTACATTACTGTTATCTATTAAAAGTAGGTTATTATCACCAATAAAATATAAGATAAATCCATATTAGGAATTCAAAATTTGAAGTATGGTGAACATTGATATAAACCATTTTGCCTGCGACATAGATGCAATTTTCTTTTAAATTTCATATTTACGATAAATATAAAAAAGTTTAAATATATTCATCAAATTTAAATAAGTGTTGAAAATGTTGAGATTTTGATTATAGGGTCCCTAAAAGCAAATACTGATCCTAATAAGATCGTTTTCGTAGCAAAATCGAACTTAAGGCTATATATTGATTGATCCCATTTACTTTTTTTAATTTGGTGTTTTGTTTTAAAATGGTAAAACTATAAAATCTTTTCTAACACTAAAAAATTATGTTCACATATCATTTCATGAATCCAACGCGTAAGCTTAACAATTTGTCAATTTTGCTTGAAATCGAGCATGAAAAATCGTCCAACACTTGAAATCAAGCATCACTTGTTGCACAGATCCACATAGAGTCACATATTTTAGTGGGTTGTACTTTGGTAGTACAAATAAATATAACTTCCTTGCGGAAGAAGTGTATGGAAGCTATGCATCTAACTATGTTTTAAGGCAATATGAAATTTCTATAATGATATTTGGAACAAATAACCAAAAAAAGACGATTATATATGACTTTATAACTGTATAGTTTTTTTGAAACTGCATTTTATAAAGAAAACTAACAATGAGCTAGGGAGTTAAAAAAGAAAAAACTAAGATGGTGTTATTTACCCAATAAACCCAATGAATAGTAATTTTATGATTCCTATTAATAAACCAAAGACAAGGAAATTCAATAATACTATCAAAAATACTTGGATACCTCTTGAACCATCCCAAAAAAAATAAGAGCATTTTGATACCTCCAAATCATCCATATGATTACTATACAAATCGCATCTAACGTTTTCTTCTTTGGAATAGAGATCTGAACATTATACACCCATTGAAACACCTCTTAAAGATAATTTCAACTAGGAGGCAACATGTCAACCCATTTAAGCACTTCATCCCATGTTCTTGCCATTACTTTATATAATTGTACAATCTTATTTTTTGTTTTATTTTAAGAATAAGAAGTTAAAAATCAATTAAGTGAGGTGGGTTCAAAACCCACTTAATGCTATTAATACCATTTAATTCTCCTTTTTAGCCTAGTTCCTTGCTAGGTAGCGCTAGGTATTAATAAAATTTTCGTTCCCAAAATAACATCATTGATGAATTATTATTTCTATACTCAATTACATTACAATTATTTTCAAACATAAGATTTTTTCAATCTTGTTTTTTTTTTCATCTTTGTAGGGATGACGGTTCAAATTCAATTGATTTTGATGGAACTATACAATCTAATTATCTATTGGATATTGGATTTCGTCAATCAATCCAATCTAATTCACTATAAACAAGTGGACCAAACTTATCCAATTGGATGTTGGATTGGATTGGTAGTATACATTGGATATTTTTGATTGATAATCCAATATCCAACCAACTTTTATTTAATTTTTATCCAATTAAACAACTAAATATAAATACATAATTATGATAAATGGGTAATAATAGTAGATGGATCATTAAAATTGAACAATTGATCAGAAAAAGTGAATAATGAATTATAAAAATGATCTATGATTCAATTTTAATGATCTAAATTTTTTTTCTCTATAGTACTATGCTTGATTTTATTATTTGTATTTTTTTTTCAATTTTTTAAGGTGTTATCACGAGTACTCACCGAAAAAAGAGTCCTCACATGATCCTCTCTCTCTGTGTGTGTGTGTGTGTGTGTGTGTGTGTGTGTGTGTGTGTGTGTGTGTGTGTGTATATATATATATATATATATATATATAAACGATTTTTTTTTTTTTGAGAATTTGAGGGTGACCCGAAAGTAGTGTTTGTTTTTTGTCTGCAGATCTGTGTGGCCTCTTC